CAGGATGCAAAAGAGGCAGGAAGCACGCAATTTCGACAGAGGAGGTCAAAGGCGACTCTTCTAGACCAATTCCAATCATTTCCAGCGATTTTTATTTTTTTCATTTTTGGCCAAATTTACAAAGGCTATAGCCTTCCCATTTTTAGCAAAAATGGGTGGGTCCGGATTTCGACGGAAAAGTAGTCGAACCGACAGGGGTGAACCAGAGAACCACAAAACTACCTTTGGTTCCGCCAGAAACCACCCCTGTCCACAGAAACTTGAGTTTTAAGGGGTGGTCTTTTGAATCTGGCGCGCGAGCCGGTCCGAGAAAAACACGCGTAACTCACTTAAAATGGCCCGGCGGCGTGAAATTTCGACGGAGATATTGAAAGAGGATGCTGTCGGACCAATCCCAACCATTTCCAGCGATTTTTATTTTTTTCATTTTTGGCAAAATATACAAAGGCTTATAGCCTTTGTGTTTTTAGCGAAAATTGATGGGTCCGGATTTCGACGGAAAAGTAGTCGAATCGACAGGGGTGAACCAGGGGACCACAAAACTACTTTTGGTTCCGCCAGAAACCACCCCTGTCCAGAGAAACTTGAGTTTTAAGGGGTGGTCTTTTGAATCTGGCGGGTAGCGTACGATGGGCTGCCTACCTCGTAGGCGAACCGGTCCAAGAAAAACAGGCGCAACTCACTTGAAATGGACCGGCGGTATGAAATTTCGACTGAGAGATTGAAAAAGGGTGCTGCCTGACCAATCCCTACCATTTACAGCGATTTTATTCTTTTTCGTTTTGGGCCAAATTTTCAAAGGTTATATTCCTTCCTGTTTTTTTTTTTTTTTTTTTTTTTAGCGAAAATTGATGGGTCCGGATTTCGACGGAAAAGTAGTCGAATAGACGGGGGGGGACCACGGACCAGGGGACCGCCAAACTATTATTGTTTCCGTCAGAACCACTCCTGTTCACAGAAACTTGCGTTTTAAGAGGTGGCCTTTTGAATCGGGACAGCGTAAAATGGGCTGCCTACCTAGCAGGCGCGCGAACCCACCTACGAAAAACAGGCGTAATTCACTCGAAATGGCCCGGCGGCGTGAAATTTCGACGGAGAGATTGAAAGAGGGTGCAGTCAGACCAGTCCCAACCATTTCTATCGGTTTTCAATTTTTTCATTTTTGGCAAAATTTGTTGTTATAGCGAATATTGATGTCTCCCGATTTCGACGGAGTTGGATCCGAATCCACAGGCGTGAACGAGGGGTTCATAAAACTACCTTCGGATCCTTCAGAAACCACCCCTGTCTACAGAAAGTTTAGTCTTCAGAGTTGGTCTCTAGAAACATTATGCGGATTATTGCCTATACCCTAAGGCGCAATACCTAAAGTCTCTGCTGTAGTGGGTCGGCACCATAAAATTTAGACAGCAAGCGAAAGGGGAGTCTGCCCGACCAATTCCAGCTATTTTCCAAATTATTACGATTTTTAAAAGACATTTTTAACAATAACAAATATCAAGCCTGGATTTTGATGGGAAAGGATTGAAATTGTCAGGGAAGAACCAAGGTACCACCCTTAAGGAAGCTTCACATAGAATCTGTACAGAGACAAATTGGAAAAGCGTATGGTTACTTTGTCATGCCAACTCACCTATTTCTTTCAGGTAAAATGACTCCACAGACTTCTTTGCTCATATCCAGAACATTGCTGGACCATGTTCCTGCAATCATATTAAACGGTACTTTAAGAGCTATTTTTTGAATGCATGTCTTAATTTAATACTCAACAATCATCAACTATTAATTACATATAATTTACTTAATCAACACACTTTTAAATGCCACTCGCCCAATACTCTAAATGACCACATGATCTTACAGATAACTAATTTGGCACTGGACTCAAGTATTAGTGTACGTAATATATCCCTCTGAACATACTGTAGGCTGTGCACATCTCCCAGCCTCTCAGATACCTTTTTTCACAATTATTAGGACAGTAGTGGACAGCTGCAAATTAGCTGCAACGCACATTGATTGATTGTTTAAGGGATTACACTAATAGCTAGAACCCTGCCAAGTTGACTGGAAAAGCCCCCTACCAGGAGTAATAACTTTTGCATGTACCCATTTAACACCTTTTCAACAAAGCTTACAGAGTGAGTATATTTTACAGAACGGGCATCATTTACTCTGCCTCGAAAAATAACTATAACCACTTGTGAGTGTAAAAATTGTAAAAATGGAGTCACTGGAGAACACTAACCTCCTACAACAACCGGAACAGAACATTTAAATATTCCGGAAGCACTATTCCTTGCGATTAATTTCAAGTGGCGCTGTCTACCCAAAATTTCTGATTAAAATCCTATGGAAAATTTGCGTCGGCATTATTCGGTATTGAGCAGCAGGAGACACAGATTTTCACTGTTTATTTACGTTTCTACGAATGACCGCTGAACGCGACGTTGATTGTAGGGGGGCGGGGGGGGGTGGGGTGGGGGGGGGGGGGGGGGGGGGGAGGGATAGGAACCCCCAAAAGTTTTGATGTTGATGTTCGCCATTTTCGCTTTGCGGATTGTTTTGTCGGCACTTGGTTCAGTCCTCACTAGTGAGTGAGGCCATATGGCAGTGCGGAAAAATAAGACCTGTGAAACTGGCTCCGAAAACAGCATCCTATGACCTCAGCGGTAGGGTTCGGTTTTTGTCCGGGTGGGTGAAGAGGGGCGTGAGCTGAGCATGTACGACGCCGAGCGGACTTACATTAGTTGCTGATTCACGCTGCGCACTTCTGTAGTTAGACTGTACCGCGTGCCCGAGTGCTCGGCTCGTAAGGCGCGGGCAAGCCCGCCTGCACTCGTGCGTGCGGTACAGTATACCTACAGAAGTGCGCGGCGTGAATCAGCCACCTGGTACAGTAGCTACAAACAGGGACGTGGAGCCGGCCGGTTGCCTCCCGCCCCCGCCACCCCTTCAGCTTCCCCCTCGCCCTCCGCGCCTGCTCGCCAGTGGGTAGGCAACCCATCGAGCGGCCGCGTGTTCTCCCGAACAGCCGGTACACAACTTTGTCGCTACAAACAGGGACGGTGGCCCCCGACCCGTGCGCACTGCGTTGGGAACGCCGGTGCAAGTTGTGGCTGAGGGCGCCTCCATGGAGGGTGGGCAATCAGTACACAAGTTACCTATTAGGTTTTTTCTTGGGGGGAGGGGGGGCATTGTGTTAGTTTAGATGCGTCCATGCCCTTTCGGCTGTCAGGGATTATGTGCAGAACAGGTTTCTTGCCTTCTTCTTCCACCCTGTGAAGGCTTCGGATTTCATATTATCCGAAAAAGGGATAGGCGGGTTGGATCAAGCTGACTTTGGCCGCCGGCATTGTGGCCACAAGTTTGTGGCCACAAATAGGGATGTACATGATCAAAGAAATGATATCCTAATCTTGGTAAGTGATTAAAACAAGGAGTGTCATATCTTTAAGGATTTCCATTTATTCCACAATCAACAATACATTCAGACCACTGTGGAAAGTAGACCCCAACAACATCCACTCCAATGTAAAAGACAAAACATTTCAAAACATTAACAATGTCGATAGTCCGAGGTTAGTGAGTGAAGCATATACAGAACGCGTACACACTCAGCAGCAGGTTTTACTGCCACCATACAGAATACAGTTGGAAATATAAAGGCGATTCATTCATTTATTAGGCTATATAAATTCATCGACTTTGTGATGTTTTGGAAGGGAAAGGCTACGGGGATAATGTTATATCGCTACTCTCAGTCAACAAATGGAATATTTACCAAAAACAATTTACTTATAAAATGTGATCCTTGGTTCCAGCTTGGTGTTCAGACAAATTCGGCAAGCAAGCCTAATTGGTTTTTACCAGTCACAAAAGAAGTCATGGATAAACACAATCTTCTGCAGGTTGAAAAAAAATGAGTTTTACATGTGGATAGCTTGCTCCCAACTGTCTGTTCATCTCAAGAGAGAAAGCCATAGAATCATTGATTGTGTGGCAGTTGCAGCAAATTAGAAACCATTTCTGAGAAGATGATTGCATTTCTTGACAAATGTTACTAAATACTATGGCAACAAAGGTCATATGCTGAGTCACATTATACACAAGTCCCATTGAATGCTAGCAATCTGATACAGATTGCAAATTAGGCTTATTCCAGCAGAGCTGTAAATCTTGTTATCTTCTTCCATATGGTGCCACAATCTTAGAATTTACATCAACCTACCTAACGCAAATTTCCTACAACCAATTTGCAATATGACTGAATTGAATTGAAGTTAGTTAAGATAAATATATTGGAGAATACAAGGGAAGCAGCAGATTTGCAATACCAAAGTCCTCATCAATATGTTGTGCATTAATTCACAATCCTGTTAGTTGAATGAATAATAAATGTGTGAATGGAGAAACACATACACAGATTTTACACATTGGGGAGGGGCTGATTTTCAGGCAGGACCAATGAAGTATAGTTCACAATATGTGGCCAAAGTGAGGTCACGCTGCAGCAAATACATTAAAATTCAAAGATTGTTCATTGCTAAAATGATCGCTCAATCCAACATATACATTTTTTTTTTTTTAAGGAAGCATGAGCTTGCAAGATTTGAAAAGTGCACAATTTAATAGGAGTTATACTTATGAACAATGATGGTATGATGATATGAAATTTAGAAACTTGACTTGGTGATGTGATGAAATTTAACAACTCAAAAATTTATGAATTATGACTCATCATATATAGATATTTGATGATAGCACCCTAGTGTATAAAAAACAAAATCAAGTCAGAATTTTCTAAATGAAATATTTCATTGTTTTGATGGTAAAGCGATTGATATGAAAAATAAATAATACTCATTTCTGTAAATGTAAAAATGGCACTCTAGAAAAAATGTGGATCTGTAAAAATTGAGTCAAATAAAAATGGCAATTAGTTAGGGTAGTAAGTAACAGCACACTTCAACAAGGTTGAGGTATTTAAGTCCATGTAAGAGGCAAAATACACAATGGTGAAGCTGAGTCGCTGTCCCTTAGCTTATTTTGACACTAACATGGACTCTTACTTCTTCCTTACTTTCTTTTTGGAAGACCGTGACCATGAAAAGTATGCAAAAAATTATCTTCATCATGCACACAAGAAATGCCATACAGTGACAACAAGACAGCAACCTAAGTCAGAGTAGAGAGCCAACCCGACTCTGATGTAGGCCCCTACTATTTAACCTCCCAGCCATGTACCAATCCTCACTGACCTTACAAATCTGGAGAGGAAACAAATTTAGATTGAGAGATGCACCTAACAAAAAAGTAGAGTTTATAAAACAGAAAAAACAAAGGCATAAAACATTAGACTAGAAAGTGTTTCTTTGGAGGGTTTTGAGTACAGAAAAGAAAATTGCAAGAGAAATCAAAATGTTTCGGTACTGCATATTCTATCTGCCAAATTACTAAAAATAAACAACAAGACGTCCTTGAACTTAGATTAATTTGATGATGAAAAATGTATCTTTTGGTTCCAGTCTCCTTATTCTAAATCTTCATGCCAAATGGATGTAAAGGAAAGCAAATATGGCACTAGACATCATGAGATAGATTTACATAGGCACTGGCTGGTAGATTCATCTCTTATAATATAAATCTTCTGAAAATATTCTAAGGAAAACAATGACGCACATTGATCTCAGTACGGCTACAAATAGTACATAAAGTCTGATCAAGTGACAAGTAAGCCTCTAACTTCAATAGCATCTTGTTGCATTAAATTTGATTATACACCAGCAATATGCCTTTGATACTTGACAAATCTGAGTACTTTCCAATGCGACAAGGTTCGAACCTCACAATCAACACACACCATCTGCTGGATTGAATAAGAAGTGCAATGTATTGTGAATGAATAGAGGTGAATCAAAGACCCTTTACATAATAATGATGAATGAAGAAAACTTCAACCACTTCAGTAGATTTCATGATTATTTAGAGGCATTAAATAAGTAGCATTTGAGAGAAAAAATTATTCATTAAATATTGACACCACAATACAAATACAAGCGTTTGTGATGTAGATGACTGTTGAAATGAAATATCATGTTACATACTCACAACCATTCATTTCACAAAAATAATAAACATGAAGGAAAAATTACAGTATAGCACGAAAATTAGAATACACTAATCAATAAAGACTGTCACTTAAAAACCTTAGCAATGAAAAAGAACACTCACACATGCTTCCAATCAAAGACAACACGCATGCAACCACAAACATACTCTAAGACATACACAAAGGCACACTTGCCACACTACTGTAATCACATTATTCTTCTCAAATATTCAAATACTGCTGAATGTTTCAAATACATAAATAAATAAACACCAACCTCAATATTTGTCTGATAGATACTTAACTCCACCTCCCATGGAAAATAGTCTGGCTTAAGATCTGATGGAATTTGAATGAAGTCTTCCACTTAACTTTCAACATGCCATCTACTTTTGTATGATATTAATTTGGAAGGAACAAGAACATACTGCAAACTTATTCCCTTCATGGCACTCTAATATGAGGTTATGAATATTCTTATGACTACTGCAAAAATCACAATTGTGTGTGTGTCAGTGTGTGGATGTGCAGTGGCGTATTTAAATACACAAAAAAGTTTCTTTCAAAACAGAAAGTACAACTTGTTTCAACACAAATGAATATTAAAAGCCTGCTACATGTAGAGAAAAGGACAGACAGCATAACAAATAAATATTGGCTGTTGCACTTCTTTGTGTTCCATTCATTCATTCATTACAATGTTTGAGAAAAACATAAAAAATAAAGATAAATAGATAGATAGACTGTCAGATATTTAAAAAGATATTAGTTAAAAATTACACATACCAGGCGGCACTTCCTTTTCTGATGTAAAATTGTTTTCCAGCACTAAGAACTGAAAGCTTAGAATTGAGATCACATGATTTCCAAATCAAAAGTGAGCAATCAAAGTGTACTACTTTAACTTTTAAGTGAATTCTATTTCAATGAAGTAAAACACAAAGAAGTGAACATCCAAGGTTTCGACTAGCATAGTTGAGAAATTTTTGCAGCAAAGTTCATGATACAAACAATAATTAGTGATCACACAAATATTTACCTACCTACAAATTGGGTTACAAGAGAGAGTATGGAGAATTCTGGACACTAACAATAGCAGGTCTTAACTGCTTATCACATTTATGTACTTTCTTGTATATGAATGGAGCTATTGGCAACAATAAACCAACCTAAAAAGTAAATGTGAATTAAACACATTTAATTTCTTCTGAAAAGTCAACAAATCTAAACTTTAATTGGTATAGGGGAGGGCTTAGGAATAGAGTGAGAATGAGGATGGCAGTTGAAGAACGGTATATTCCTATATCATGTCTAGGCCTGAAATCGGTTCTTGCCCGTCAGTAGACGTGCCTCATATATAGTATGAAGTGTACACTCACAATTACAATAAAAAGTTTACCAAAGAGCCTAAGCATTTTAAACTCCTCCTGCATATGAAATTTTTAGTGAAGTCATATCATTACGAGACTGAAATTAACAAACGCAGTAACAGACCTGCAAGCAATCTAGATCACAGAAGAACAACCATTTGTTGTACCACATTTACTTTTTAAACAAGTTAGTTTACAAAACGGCTTTTGTTTTCAAAAAGACATTGAATTACAAAACTGAAATGAAAACGTCACTAGGAGAATTTGAAAATGAGAAAGGAAAACATGTTTTGGATAAGAAAGTAAACATATGCAGTCCATGCAATACAATGAACATAGAGAACCTTTCTCTTAGTATTTCGTCTATTCCTGAAGTTTTGCAAGACATGATATTTTAGGGTCATTTAAAAAAAATACATAAACCATTCACCTATTTGATTGTTTCGAACAAAGCACTATCGATGATAGTGCACAGCAAGGACAGTAGTTTCACAGATCCAAAACAGTTGCATCATCCAAAGTAATAAAGTATTGCAGTAATTAAACATGATTGGTAGGGCTCTGGATTTGATCTGATACTGGTTAATTAAATATGTAATAAAGTGCATAAAAATTGAAAATGATAGTGAATACTGTAAAAATTATATACAATACAAACCAAGCAACAGTAAAACTGTACAGATTTAATTGTTGTAATTAATCAAAAGAACATGTTTCAAAGGAAGAGAAAACTCAATGTCATACTTTTAAAATTTAAATATAAAGGTAATTTTTCATAAAATAGCTACTTAATACACCGGAATAAACGTCCATCGGCAAAGAAATCAGTCAAACCAGATAAAATTGACTGCCCTTTTGTCTAATAATCAATTACATGGCATATATCCTCTAAGTTGAGTGGCAAATGCTTGGATTTATTTTCAAGCAATACCCAACAACTTCCTTGTAATACAGCAGGGCGAAATTGACTTTATCTTTGTTATAATAGAGAGAAGAGTTCCTTTGGTCAGCTGGACTCCCATATGAATGATATTTCGATTCAAATTGGGTAACATTAGTCAAAGTACATGTACTGCCACTAATCTCATTGGGCCTGAGGATCACATTGGAGAAGTCGAACGATTGATGGATCACTCTTGGCTCCTTCTATGAATTCATCTAGGGATAATTTACCATCCTTGTTTTTGTCCATTTGCCGGAATATTTTATCAGTACGCTTTTCAGGTGTTGATTCATCCTCTGGCATCTTCATGACAGATCCTACCATTTTATAGATAGCCTGCAAGTAAATGCAAAGTTTGGTTAGCTGCTACGTAGAGGGGCATTTAAAACTGATGTCATAATTACAGTATGGTACTAGGTATACCCACAGTAACAATTTCAAGCATTTCTTGACGGGAAATATAACCATTTCCATCAAGATCATACATGCTGAAAGCCCACTTCAACTTCTGTTCCAGCTTTCCCCGAGATGTTACTGATAGAGCACATAGAAACTCCCGGAAGTCAATTGTGCCATCTCCGTTGGCATCAAAAGTACGGAATACATGTTCAGCAAACTGTTGAAAAAAGGGATAATATAATTTTTATAAAAAATACAATAAAAGTTGCTGATTAATATGAGGGTGCATGACAAACCTTTGATGCATCTCCATATGGGAAAAAGTTGCCGTAAATTTTTTTGAATTCTTCCACACTAAGGTATCCACTCGGACAATCCTTTAGAAAACCCTTATACCACTCTTGAATTTCCGCATCTAAGAAAACAAAAGGAACAAAGCAATCATTATACATACTAAAAGATTACTCACTGTGTAAAACTTTAGAAAAGGCGCTGAATAGCTGACCTGAAAACTCTGTGTTTTGTCGGAGATCTTCTAAGACCTCTGGCTTTAGTTTACTGTTTTGTTTCCCCATGACAGGAAAGTGATTTGTTACTTATGGGTATCCAAGGGAATAGATGGAATTCCACCTGAAATTCAACCTGAAAGCAAAACAGCATAACATTATGACACAAGACACTCAAACATGACCTGAAATGCAAATATGTAAAATAAAGGCAATACCTCTTGTTTTAAATAAGATAGAAAGATATGTAAAGCACACATAAAAATGACAGAATTACCAGGTATTGCATTGAGTGATACTTAAATTTTATTGGATTAAGAGTTTTGGTTTCAGGTTTGGAAAATTACACAAATTTTTGAAAATCACAATGCTATTGATGTGTATGAGAGGATATGAGATATGACACTGAATGGGTCTGGGTACTATTTTCAACACACACCTTTAACATAGATTTAAACATGGATTCGGTAAAGTAGTATACCAAAAGAACTAAAGGAACTAAGAAACAAATCTCAAGAGGAAATAAGGTTCTAAAAGAATTATTGTATATAAGGTATGTACATGTATACTTATATATATTAACCGTATATACATGTAAACATAAATTGATCATACAAATAATATTCGTAATGTATTAAAATTGTAATTTTCTCATCAACAGATACAAAACACAAGTATATTTTGTAACTATTCACATAGATATTAACATTAAAACACATGGAATAAAGTGGGGACTGCAGATAAAGGTCTAAATGGTTATCACAAGTTGTGCAGCTTACAAGTAGAAAAATAGAAAAGTGCAGAAAAAGCAATGGTATTCGCTTTCTTCTTCTTTTTTTAACCCTTTTTATTTAGGAGAAATTTTGCATTTTGTGTCAACAGTAACTGCTGCGATTTCAATGCATCTCATCCCAAACTTCAACAATAGTTCCACATATACCAAAATTAAGCAAGAGAGTGGGTAATGCCCGAGAAGGTTGAGTAGCTTACATGAGTTCACTGCTTTTGCTTAGAATTTTGTGCAATCAACTGATTTAGTTGACCCCGGTTCACTTGACTATATTAGGCTTAGAGCTAGATAAGTGAAATGATTGAATAAAGATGACAGGAGGGCTTTCAACATAATAAAATATCACTACCCATTATTTTCATGAGCAGTACTAAAACAAAGCAAGGCAATGCAATGATATCAAAATGATGTTCACAGACCTCTGTAAATGAATTTACAACACCAGTCCTTTCAAACACTCATCAAAAGAATCTGGAGAAATGAGAGTTTCTTGCAAAACTGCTGTTAACGCAGAATCATGATATGCACAGATCTTATTTCTTCTTCAATTTCACCGTACAAACAATTATTATATAGCATTGTTAAAGATATGAAAAATCACAAAGAAGTTTTTACTACAGTAGAATGACAGCAGCAAATTTTTCAAACACGAATATTTAAAAATTCGAAATGAAGCAAAACGATCAGGTTAAGAGAAGAAATAAATGGGGAGAGCAAGATACTTGTATTAAACACAATTGTTCCCAAGTAGTGGGTGTTTTTTTTGTTTTTCTTTGAAAACTTCCATTCGAAATATTCAAAACCATTTTTCTTTGAGAAACAATTAATTCTTAGAATGGTTGGTATTGTTTGGTTCAGTTGATTGAATACTAAATTTGACTAGAAATAAAATTATGCAATTCACAAAATGGAATCATAACCATTGCACAGTAATGATCCATATCTTCTTGAATTTAGTAACAGTCATGATAACAAGAGAAAAATTCCCTATTACCATGGTTTAAGCTGACCCACTCACTTTCTTTTGGGTGCTTAGGCTATGAAAAGCTATTGAGCTATAACCAGTCATGGAATGGATACTGGATGAGGACAATAACCTTACTATAGCAAGACACACTCATGACATTAACATTGAGAAATGTTTTTCTTGTTTTAAACTGTAAAATGGAAGTTATAAAGCAGAAAATATTTACACCAAGATCGAACAACAATTATGAAAAAATTCTGAGTTATTATAGCAATGATAAATAGGACACTCATGTTTAGCACACGAGCTGGCCAAGGGACCTAACAGCAGGCACTCACAGTTTCAATTTCTCGTTTCCATGTTTTCTTTTTAAAGCAGTCCCTGAGATTCTGAGAGGAAAACAAATATGGTGTATGCTTATCGTCCAGACTGGATTTATGACTTAGGTAAATGTTTAGATCTTTTAAACTTGACAAAAAAGTATCAGAAAAGTCAAAGTAGTGTTGGTGGTTGCACCTTGTGAGTGGTTGCACTCTAATACAGTAACACACAGACTACTTACTAATCGAGCATGTACCTACTTATTCCATCAGAAAATAGGCCTATACAAAGTATTTATTGTCCATTCGATTGGACAAGTACCATGCTCTGTGTGAGGCAACCTGGCCCAAGTACAAGCCAGGTAAGGACTAATGAGCATTCACCATGCGCGCCTGCCAAATCGCCCGTTTCTTGGACTAACTCAACCAGACAGACAGACATTAAGATATTCAAAGAAATACAAATGTTTCACCATAAGACATAGTATTCTTTGTAACTGACATTTTGTCCAGAAACACTGATTACTGTTAAAATTATAGAGTAGAGGAAGAGAGGATATTCTGTATGTACAATACAAAACAAAGGCTTTACTAACTCAAGAATACATTTCCATCAACTAGAAGACACATAAAAGGTGGTCAGAAACATGAAAATTTAAAATGCAAGATTTCACTTATTGGGAAAAGCTAAACTGATTACAATTTATGTTCTTTATGGACTGTACAATACTTAGACACTAAATTCAGAAGTCAGACAGGAAGAGATAGTGGAAACAGGTAGAGGAAGCATACAGTTTCTTTAGTACTCTGAAAGAACTAAAAAAATTAGAGGGGAGTATGTTGCAAAGGAATGAGAAGAAAATAGAAATGATTGTGCTTTCTACATTACTTATTAAGTTTGTGCCCTAACAAAGATTTAAGGACCTTAATGTAAAGAAATTCCCTTTCAAAAGATTTATAGAAATTTTTTACATGACCTGCTGTGTTTAAAGAATGTATGTTGCCTAAAGAACCGAAAGTCAAGTTGTAATAGTTTTCATGGATGTCAATGGAAGTCAATTAGTACATCAGATAAAGCCATATAATACAGAGATTAAATGCTGTTCTAAATGCTTTCGTTTTTAAATTCAATGAAAACACTTTGAAATAAAATATGTGGAAGATGCAATAAGGAATAATAAATGTACTGAGTAAAAGTGGATTTGCATTTTTTTGTTGGGTGTTATTGGAGCAACCAGGGTAAACACTTACATTCCGAACTGAAGCATTATGGGCAGATTAAGAGAATAGGTGACTAATCCCTACCTGAGTGTACAACAAAATCCTAAAACAGTTCTTTTTTCATTCTAGATTCAAATATTTATGTAAAAAAATGAAAAGGCAAGCCTCAGTGTTTCAGTGCGGATATAAGGGTACCTTATCAGACTTATAGAATGTGCGATTTCATCGCTTGTGAAACTTTCAAGCTAATATACATATAACATCACATCATATGTCACTCGAATTGTCATATACACAGGATACAAAGGATATTCCTTTGTCAAGTTGTCTAGCCAATTAAGAAAAGCATTCTCTTTGTCGGAGGAAAATGCTGATGTGATGATATTATTTTACATATTGACACTCAGAGAATTAGGAAAACAAGAAGAGGATTGAGACACTGATGTACAATCCTGAAGTACGGTTGTGTGTTTAGTACAGTTTGTAATCAAAACAATGATAGCCAATTCTAGAACATAAAACTCAAAGTCCATACAAACAATTGTGAGTCCTTAAGTAATCCCCATCGATATTGCAATGCAGGGCAACTACAAATTACATGTGTAGGTAAAAAGAAGGGTATACTGAGGAAGAGGAAGGAGTGAATCTGGGAAAGCATAGAGGCTGTTCCTGATGCTGAGAAAAGAAAGAGGAAGACTGGAGAAGACTGATGCAGTGAAACCCTTGCTCATAAAACCCGCACATCAGAAACAATTGTTAGTAGAAATCAGTCCTTTTTGAAGCATATCAACGCAAACTCACATGAGGTGTTATGCATGCAGACCTTTTAGTACTATAGTTCCATACATATTGTGCTGGTCAAAAGACTATAATGTATGTCTAAATTAGACTGCTAAGACCATAAACAGGAGGAAGAAAAAAGGTAAGTGCCTTACTCTACCATAATAATAAGTAGGTAACCACAATCATTCTCACATAATGAAGTTCAATTTAGTTTCAATAGTTGCCCTTGTTTCATTAATGACATAGAAAGGGGGCTGAGTAGTGTAAACAAATGCAGCTGATGGAAGACAAAATTAGTACTTAGACCAAAAACAAAGTGCTTCTCAAAGAACCACTCCTTCCGCTCTCTTAACAGGGCGTAGAAAAAATTCTCAGTAAAGTATGTCAAAAATGCATGAGTTGAGAGAGAAGAGTGGAAAGTATGCTGCTTTGGACTCCTTCAAGTTTGTGCTTTTCATCCCGCAATCCGTGGAGCACTGAGCACTAACCCAACAATCAATCAGAAGGGGGAAAAAAACGTTTCATTTCAAGGAGCAGGTAGTGCGCCATTAATACAGGGTGGAATACGGACACCTTTTTTGTAGTTATAAGGTGCCACATGAAGGCGGATGGGCGGTAGGCGGATTGTCTTCTCGTTCGGAGCCCGAAGGCGCCATGGTTAGTGACGGTAGACATCCCTGCCCGCCCGTACGCCTGCACGCGGTGGGACAGTATAACTACAAGGGGTCCGTCCGTGGGCCACCCTTCGTGCTACGAAGCTTCTGGCTGTCATTGTACGCATAAGTCTTAAACCTCACTGGAGACTAGTCTCACATCAGTGAATGTGTCACCAAATGCATATCCAAAAAATATTAAAAGAGTGAAAGGGGTCAAGATTTCCTTTTAACCGAAGACTCGTCATGGACAGTATTATTGGCCTGATTTCAGTTTTTGATTAAACTTCACCTCAGAAATGTGCACTTAAAAAAAATAACAAAGAACAAACATTACCTGTTATTGAAATATACTATTAACATGCACTCATAGCTGGTTATAAAAGGGGTAATTAAAATAAAATTTCGGCGACTTCATAATTTGGCAAGGAAAAATTATTAAATAAAAAAAAAGGCTAGTTCAAACCTAAGCTTAAAATCTGGCCACAAGAAGAAACTGAAGCTAAAATTTGGTCAAATCAATTGACACATGATGTCCCAGAAAAATTCCAGGTGTGCCGCATTAGTTTTACTTCTTTGCTATTGGTGTCCAGCAACAAAATATGGGTAGATTAACACGTTAATGTGGGGTTGTCACTATATAGATGGTTCATGTGGCCAACACTTTACCAGTGGTCACTACAGCAGCGACCGACTGGAGGCGAAGGTCTCACTCAACGTGTTGATAAACTTCCAAATAAACTTTTTTCAATAACAATAATAATGATTCAAAAAACCACCCGTAAAACTGATATTCGAGACATACTTTTTACAAAAATTTAAGCTGTCTCCCGAGTCAAACAAAATTGTGCGTAGTCTGATACCGACTCTCATCATTATTGACATGCAGCAAGATGCTCTTCTCCTCCGACGCGAATGCCAATGTAACCAGGCCTCTTAAGTTATGGGAACACACTCCTGCCATCTTCTCGGATCAGGCAAACTCGGATCGGTGAAGTCAATCGTACCGTTCGGTTCCGTCTGAGGTTCGAGCCTCGACCCTTAAAGCAGTAGTAGATGAGTCATTTGGTGCGTTAGCTGGAGGAGTTTGGGCCGATCCCGCAGACGAGCGGGAACAGAATTGGCCTCTTTCAGGTGGAATGTTTTCTCTTTGTACAAACATTCTCATCACAACAAACACAACGCACGCGCCCACGCACTCACACACACACATTCACACACACGACCGCATGTCTTGGAGCAGCCTAAGGCGCAAGCATCTTGGACAGCTCCTCATCCTGCAGGCAGCCTTTGAGGAACTCTTCCTGCGTCAGCTGTTGGTCGTTGTTCTCGTCCATCTTGGCGAAGATGTTCTTGGCGCGTTCCTCGGCTGAGTCAGCCGGCCGGTTAGACGAGCACGCGCCCAACATGTCGTAGATGGCCTGCAACACACAAAAAAGTGAAAATAAAGGGGCACACCAACACACGTCGCCGTTCGCAGACAAAGTACACACCTGCACGATCTTGGTCATTTCGTGGATGTCGATGACACCGTTGCCGTCCACGTCGTACATCCTAAAGGCCCACTTGAGCTTCTCCTCGGGCGTCCCAGACGAAGTCACGTCGATGGCCAGCAAGAACTCCTAGAATCACACCAAGCAAAGAGCCCGGGTCAAGTAGAGTCAGCAACTGATGCGAATCATTTGAATAATCCATGCCTGGCAAAGAGAAAATGAGTGCAACGGCAGAGCAGGGTAGCGGGGGAATACTAATTGCGCACTAAACCATGACACCCTCCGTTCCTCCGTTGAAATACGGCATTGGTGGGGTCAGCTTCAACCGAGCGCCTGCGAGCCGAGGGTAGGCCGGCCGCCCAGCACGGCTGCACCACAGTCGCCCCGGTGGCCCACCCGCCAGGCGCGCACCAGCCGCCTGCGAGCAGAGGGTAGGCCGGCCGCCCAGCACGGCTGCACCACAGCCGCCCCGGTGGCCCGCCCGCCAGGCGCCCACAGTGCAGGGCCCAGGTCAGAGCGACCACAGGCATGTCATTAGGAAAAGAGTGCCCCCGCCATCGACCCAGAGGGAGGGAAGGGGGGGGGGGCACAGCAGTAGCCCATTTTCTTGAAGAACGCCCACAGTCCCGCCCCGCCCCGAGCCACCTCACCTCACGCCTCTCCACTCATATTCTAGATGATTATTAGACCCCCCCCCCCAAAAAAAAAGTAGCTACCCGCCTTTGTAAAGGCTGGCGGCGGCGTTGAGCACAGCGCCAGTTACGCCACCAAAAGTGAATAAATAAATGAAAGGAATGAATAATGAGTTTCATGGCGTTGAGTGGAGCGGAGATAACTTTACCTCCGCGGGGAAAGACCAGGGCCGGGGCGGGCCAGGGCCCCGCCAGGGCTGGGACCGAGCGGCAAAATAAAGATAAATAAGTAATCCCCTTACAGCGGCGGCCCGGCTGGGCTTGACTGGGCTCCTCCCTCCACTTCACGAGAAATAACGAGACGGGCGATATGCCGGCGCGAGTCGCGAGAAGAAAACCGTCATGACGGCAAAAAAAAGGAGGGTGAAATCGTGCAGACATTTCTTTGATATCCCTCCCAATTTTTATTTTTCCCATCATGCCAGAGCATTAAAACGTCCAAGACGGGAAGAAGCAGCGTCAAAAAAGTATTGAAGCACCGGGGTAAAGAGGGGAGGAGAGGGGAAGGGAGAGGGAGAGAGAGGGAGAGAGAGAACGGGGGTGCAGGGTGAGTGGTGGAATGAGGGAGACGGGGGCGGAAGGGAGAACGAGGTAGATAGAGATAAGGGGGGGGGGCAAGGGATGAGAAATCATTTCCCCGCTTGCCGTGCCGTGCCGTGGCAGGGGTCGGGGCTGGGCCGGAGGGCAACAGGCTGTGAGCTAGCGCTGCGCGGCGCTAGTCCCTTGGGTGTCCCTGGGGCTGAGGCGCGCTGAGGCGTCCCCTTTCGGTGGTCCCCTCCTCCTCCCCTCTAGCCCCAACCGCACTACAGCACAGCTGTGAGGTGGGTCGGGTAAACCCTTGGCCTGGCCTGGCAGGCCCTGCCCGGCCAGGGCCGGACTGGGAGGGTAAGGGCCCCGGGTGCCACGTCACATGCAGGGCCCCCAAACCAGAACTACCGCCCTCCCCCCCTGTTTCAAAAAAACTAAAAAGTCTTCGGAATATTCAGGTTTGCTGCGGCAGCAAACTCCAACGAGCGAAGCACGCGAGAATTTTTGACATCTTATAGCTTGACCGGTTTTTAGGGATTATGCGGGTATTATGCTACGTAGTAGACTCTTTTGACAACGTTGCGTTGCCACCCACCTGTAGACGTCTTTTGGTCTTCCGCTTAAATTTTGGAAGCATTACGGGAAACCGCCAAAGAAAAGTGCGAGCGAAGCGAGCAAGAATTTTTTTCGACATTTTATGACAAAACGAGCGGTTTTGAGCAAAATTCCTGGACATTTCCGCCAAGGCCCCTGGCCCCGGGCGGGGCCCCGACAAGAACCCGGGTTGTAGGGGCCCCCGATGGCGCGGGGCCCCGGATGCTAGCGCGACCTAGCACCCCTGGCCAGTCCGGGCCTGTGCCCGGCCCTTCCTTCGTTCGTTCGTACCGTTCTCGCCACGACGGCAAACACCCAGGGCGAGAAAAAGAGGAGAGGAGAGAGAGAGAGAGAGAGAGAGAGAGAGAGAGAGAGAGAGAGAGAGAGAGAGAGAGAGAGAGAGAGAGACGGAGAGGGACAGACAGAGAGGGAAAAATATTATGGCCACAAGGGAGGGTTTAAATGTACGGGAGAGGAGGCGAGAAGGGGGCGGACCCGGAGAAGCCGGAGCAGGAGGGCCGGGCCGTGGCGCCGGGGCGCTCGCTTCCGCCGGAAGGACGCTATGGGTGTTGAGGTGAATGCACCACGAGGCGAGCCAGGCCCACCGGCACTGCCGCACCGCTAGGGACTCAAGAGCACGCAAACAGGGGAAAACTTTTTTTCCACCCCGAGTTTTCCTCGTTCCTCATTCGAAGGCCGCGCAACCAACCGAAGGAAGCGCGTGTCGCGAGAGTTCATTTCAACGGTCCAACAAAGTTTCGACCATGACATATTATTTTTGCTTTAATTTTCACAAACCAAGGGCAAAATGCAGCAGGTGTCTAACTTACACCGCGCACTTTCGTAGTTATACTGTACCGCATAAACGGGTGCGGGCGGGGGTTGTCTACTCGCACGGAGCCACATACAAGGAGCCGCAGAGGCGAGGATAGGCAACCCATCTGCACGCGTGCATGCGGTTCAGTATAACTGCTACGAAAGTGCGCAGCGTGTGAGTCAGACACCTTGGTATATTTGTCTTGTAGCTCCAGTGTGGCGCGACAGCCTCAAGATAATTTGTCAGCCTTCGCAATCGCGAAAAAAAATCCTTCCTTGCATGTGAGAACAATAATTATGTTTGTAATTATTGCGAATACAGTTTTGGTTTGTAAAGCTTGCGAAAGCTGCAAATTTCTTCGCATTTAAAAACTATACACAACAGCTTCGAAACATTTTTGCCGTGCTGTGCTCAGAGTGTTGCCCGCGTTCTAGACATTCGGCAGCAGGGAGGTCTCATTTTCCTTTCTGACGTGCCGCCCTGCACAACACAAACTCGACCGTCAGAGCAGAGCAAAAGGCTCCGTTTTGTCTGCGTTTTCTTGTCAGTGTTGTGTGGCTCGTGCGTTGTGGGGCGTTGGTGGGATGTGGTGGGGCGTTGGAGGGGTGCGGCGGGGCGCTGCTCGGGGCGTGCGGGGTGCGGCGGCCTGCTTGCTTTCCCCGTCGTGTGTTAATTTTGCACGAGGGTTCTTGACCCGGTCGCCCGTGGGGCACGCCTTGTGTGTGTGTGCGAAATCCTCCCCTTTCCCCTCTTTTACCCGAGCGGGGGGAAGGGAAGGGACCGGCCCTGGAGCTGGCGAGGAGGAGAGCGGGCGAAACACAAAGAAGTGGCGAGGGAATAAGGAAAAGGAAACGCACACAAACACGGGCGCGTGGCGGGCGTACTAGTCGTGAGGGCCGGCAGGCCCGCTTGCTTGCTTACTAGGGCCGCAGCAGAGCAAGGCCTGAGCAGCTCGTTGCCGGGAGGGTCGGACGACGGTACATTCGATTTCTTATTCCGTTCCAGCCGTCGCCCGTCCCCGGGTGCACTGCAAGGCCCGGAGGCGGGGGGACAGGACACCCGCCGGGGCGGGGCGAGCATGGGGAAAAGGTTTGTAGTGAAATGGACAACGAGCTAAGCCCAGCAGGCCGGGGTCGTCCCTAGCAAA